AAAATTAGTTAAATTATAAAATTTTAAATATTTAAAATTTTATTTTATTATAATATTTAATTTGCAATTAAAATTGTATTTATACAAAAAAATTAGCAATTATTTATATAAATTTTGTAAGTTTAATATTGATTGATTTTTGCCAAAATTGCAAATTTAGATTTATTATAAAATTTATTAAGAAATTTGCTTTTTACAGTGGACATCAAAAAAAACGCACCAAACTTTTTTAAAATTATTAATTGCTATTATTAAATCAATTTAAATTCAATTAAAATAAAATTTAAAACTTAAATAATATATGGTTTGGCCTACTAAAAAACATAAAATTTAATATTAATTTACTAATTAGTTTTTTAATTACATAACATTAAATCAAAACAACTTGGTGCATTCTTTTTGCCACTTTTTAAAATTTTTAAAAAAATCAAAATTTTCACAAAATTATATTATGCTTTTATAATAAAAAAATGTAAAATTAATTATTAAATAGCTTAAATTATTAATTAAAATTAAAAAAAGTCAATACTTTTTAGTAATAAATTGATTAATTTATTTAATGAATATAATTAAAAATTACTATAAAACATATAGATTTTACAGTTTTTATTATAACAGTTTTTCTTAAACTACATTAAATCAAAAAATTTTATAGTAAAATAATACCCAAAATTAAATTCTCCTAATTAAGGGGAATTTGCGAAAAAAAAAATGGAGTGCAACGGACCTTTAGATAGTGAGATATTACTTGTTAAAGTATGGCAATGATCTTCATTTTACATATAGAAATGATTACACTATATGTAAAATGAAGATCATTGCCATACTTTAACAAGTAATATCTCACTATCTAAAGGTCCGTTGCACTCCATTTTTTTTTTCGCAAATTCCCCTTAATTAGGAGAATTTAATTTTGGGTATTATTTTACTATAAAATTTTTTGATTTAATGTAGTTTAAGAAAAACTGTTATAATAAAAACTGTAAAATCTATATGTTTTATAGTAATTTTTAATTATATTCATTAAATAAATTAATCAATTTATTACTAAAAAGTATTGACTTTTTTTAATTTTAATTAATAATTTCTATTTAATAATTAATTTTACATTTTTTTATTATAAAAGCATAATATAATTTTGTGAAAATTTTGATTTTTTTAAAAATTTTAAAAAGTGGCAAAAAGAATACACCAAGTTGTTTTGATTTAATGTTATGTAATTAAAAAACTAATTAGTAAATTAATATTAAATTTTATGTTTTTTAGTAGGCCAAACCATATATTATTTAAGTTTTAAATTTTATTTTAATTGAATTTAAATTGATTTAATAAGAACAATTAATTTTAAAAAAGTTTGGTGCGTTTTTTTTGATGTCCACTGTATTTATTAAGTAAACTGATTTCTCATAAAAAATTAAGGGTATTGCTAAATATCACCAGTGGTAATCGTCACCACACCACTTAATTCTGGCCGAAATTTATAATTTTGGCCAGAGTTAAAAAACACATCGTAAATTTTTTTTCAAAAATTTCAATTTAAATAATAAATGTGCAAAACAAACCTGAGTAGATACTAATCACACTAAAATTTTGAAAATTTGACTAAAAAAAATCTTTTTTAAAACAAAAAATTGTATTTTGCTTATAAAATCAAACTTTCCTATTTTTCTCAAAAACTATCTAAACAACAGCCTTTATAATCTAAGGTAAACTTGTTCTACCCATAAATTTACATATAGTAATGATATTTATATTATAATTAGAATAATATCTTACATGTGGTGACGATCACCACTGGTAATATTTAGCAATACCCAAAAATTAATATATATTTATATATTTAAAAAGATTATAACTAATTTTCATTCAAGGTGAAATTGCTAGGATGAAATTACTTATTAATTTTTATTATTTTATAATAATAATAAATTTATTTAATATAAGTTAGTGTTTCGATCTAGGCAGAAACTGTCATCTGGATAAATTAAAAAAATATCTGGTTTTTATCTGGATTATCACTAGTCGAAATAGTCCAATTCGGCCAGATTTCGTATAGGCAAATTTGGCTTGAATTATGGCTGAAATTTGGCCGAAGTTAGACGAATCTCTTAACCGAAAGTTTTTATCGAGTGTTACCATTCAGACTGCCACTCGTCTAAATTTTAGCTAAACTTCGGTAGATTTTGAGCATGACTTTCAGAATAAAAAATCGTATAACTTTCAGATAACATTCATTATAACGAATACTTAACATTCGGTCAGCTTTTAAACGCAATAAATTGTTATTTATTTAATAAAATATTTAATACTATATATTTAATACTAATTTATACTAATTATTATAATGTTCAATTTATATGCTACGCTAATAATAATATATTATAAGAATGTCCTATTTATATAATATAACACCTTCAAGACGACTTTTGTCATCAACTTCATTCACAACGCTAATTTTTTGATACAATAAACAAATAAAATAAAGGTTAAAGCAAAATTATACTGAAATAACATTGAACGTTAAATTTTAGCGAAATAACATCGNATCCTATATCAGAATCATATACGACATTACCATTTCCTGGTTCTACACATGTCCATTGTGGTGCATCGTTCGGAGGTTGGACGTCAAAATTTTGCAACGTATCGTCATAATTTCTACGTCTGGTTAGTTGTGCGTTTTGTTGTGTAAATGAATAAGGATCCAATACTTCCCTAAAAAAAGTTTTTAACTAGAAAGAAACAAGTTAGTGTAAATCTATAAATTACTATAATAAATCGAAAGTTAGTACATACCTCTGATGATCTCCATGATCGATTATACACAACTATTTGACGTTTTTCCGACGCATTTTCCTCATCCGTTTCACTCAACTCCGGTGAATGATATCTGATATCTTGAATGATATTGATCATCTCTTGTTTTTCATAATGAGCGATTCTCACGTCATCTTTATCATATAAAGCTTTGGCAGCTTTTAGTTGACGAATTTTTTTCTAAACGCAAAATAACATGGGTAAAATGTTTATATTTAACTAAAAACAACTAAAATTCTTACGTCGTTCATCCTCCCATTTGCGTGTAGATGATGATCATCACTATCAAGTCTTCCCTTCTTCTTGTAATTATTCCTACTTCGTCTAGATTTATGCAACGACATTAGCCATTTCGTCAACTTATCGTAGGTAGGGTTAAAATTCGGCTTTAAGCTCTTCATTAGTTCTGGTATTAATTGTTTTCTTATGTCTACGTTAGTTTTGCTCATAAACGTTTGATCATAGTCCAGGTCGAATTTGACAGGCATAGTTTTCAAAATGGTCTTCATTTCCATCTAAATTATTAACAGTAATAAAAAATTTGGTAAATATTAGCACGAAACCATTTTTTAAAATATTACTAACCCTTGCATCTTTATCGTCCTTTTCATCCTTTTCGTCCATTTCAACATCCACGTCAATAATTTCGTCATCCAAATCTTCACTATCATTATTCCTAACGTTGGCAAATAAAAGGTAATTAATTATACGAATAGTTATAAAACGGATAACAAAAATTTATGATACCTTTGATGTTTATGTTTAGGCTTTGAACTTTTTTTCATGCTTCTTGGCATCCGAAGGTTCTTATAAAAATCGATTCGTTCATAAAGTCTGTCGTTCTCTTTTCCGAATTCCTCATTTATTTTTATTAGCATTTCATTTAGTTCTTTCGACTCTTCAAGTTCTTTATTAAGTTTGTCTATCTTATATTGCAATTCCATATTATCGGCTCTTAATTTCCCATTTTCTACCTTCAGATCTAAAAATTGAAGGTTTTCAAATATATATCTATATATCGTAAAAACATTCGTCAATAAACAATTAAGAATAGATAATCAAAATTTACCAAAATTACTCAAATTTTTTTCCGATGATTGCAAAGTTTTGGTTGCTTCAACTCAACTTTCGTCTAGAATCATCGATTTCGGTAAATGGATTTTCAGAATTTTTACTTGTAAGCCTGCAAGCTTTGATTTAATAATATTTGACGATGATTTCGTATTGAAGAGAGAAGTTCGTGAAGCACTTGGTGATGAAGATGATTTCGTATTGGAGAGAGAAGTTCGTGAAGCACTCGGTGATGAAGATGATTTCGTATTGGAGAGAGAGGTTCGTGAAGCACTTGGTGATGAAGATGATTTTGTGTTGAAGGGGGATCTTAAAGTACTCGGTGATGAAGAAGATGATTTCGTGTTGAAGGGGGATCGTAAAGTTTCTGATGACGTGTTAGAGGTTCGTAAAGTAGTTTCTTCTTCATCAACATCAGGAGGGACGAGATAAAAAACATCTCTTTCATTTCTTTCAGTTCCTTCTTTCTCTCCCTTTTTATTAATATTCTTTGATGTGTCCTTTGACATATTTGAAAAAATAGAACTTTTCTTAATTGTTAAAATAGCCAAAATTTATTTACTCTTATTAAATTTATTAAATTTGTAAAAATATATAATAAAATTTTACACGAAAGTATTTTGAAATTGTAAGAAAAAAAAAGTTAAGTTCTAGGA